GGGTAGTGTATGGTAAACATTGCAGCTAGTATTATCTCTAGTTAAGCTTTGTATACGTGAGTGGAGACCTTAACGACAATATTTTAGTGTTCCTAAAATCTGCCGTATGTGACGTAAAGTTGCATAGAGTACGTATACTCTGAACAGCCACTAAATACAGTGAGGAAACTTAAGTGTTTCTAGATGTATACATGATTTACACTATGCATTTTGCTCCTGAAAGAAAAATAAGCTTGGAGGGATAAATGTAAAAAAAATTAATGACAGTAACTTGACCGAGAACCTTTTTAATACCACCGGATTATATCCGCTCAACGGCGAAATTATGTGGCGTCCTTTCATTTTTCGCACTCAGCTGGTTATGCATTGGTAGCTCGCTCTCTGTTATTCAGGAATAGTCGCCCGTGATTACTGCGAGTTAAATAAGCGGGGGACACAGGCACCTAAACGTACAAGAATGAACCAACAGCTATATGTGCGACGAATTTGGCCCTTGGTGTTGATAACGACAAAATGAAGGCATAATGATCTGTGGGATTGTATGTCCCGGAACCACTATAGGATTATTAGAGACACCGTGGTGGATTTCTGAAATTTCGACCATCTGGTGTTGTTTTACGTCCACTGACACTGCACGGTAGATAGGCCTCTACTATTTGGCCTCCATTGAAATGTTACTGCCGCGACCAGGATCGAACCCGGGACCTTCGGCTCAGCAGCCGAGCACCAGTGCCACTGATGCACCAAGGCGGATGCACTGAAGCCATCAACCTCGTTCTTTTTCACTGTCTACTTTAAACACGCGTGTCTGTATAGAGTCTCACTTTCGAACGCAATAAGCATAAACCCGGAAAAGCTTTCGTTGTGTAAGAACTATCGCCACCTACATAGCTTAATTTGCTCTCGCCCCCGGGAGCGGCGACTTTAAGCCTTCGGAGCAGATGTAATTGTTATCGGATCATCGTTGCTGGCGCAGACTCGCATCAACGCGCGCCAAAGTGGCCGCACGCGCGTCGCGAATAGAGCTGTCCACGTGCCTATCAAAAACAGAAAAAAAAAACAGGGGGGCACGCGATGTAGCTGTGGGTGAGACCCGAGAGGGCAGCAACGGGTTATCTACTCGGCAAGCGCGTTTTCCCCTCAGTGGCGTGAATTATTAACGAGCGTTCGCCGGGCGCCCGTCCCAGTTTCGGACCCATTAAAACGTCGGGAGCTGAACGACGGCCGGTGTCCCGGGCGCAACCCGACTCTTCCGTTTCGCTCGCGCTTCGTCCCTGGTGGCACACCCGAACTCGCGCGGGGGCCTCGCTCAAGAGCGCTCCTCTTGGCGCGCGACAAACTGTTTCCATTGTGCGCCGGATAATAATATCTGCGCGCGGAATCTTCCCCGCGTGCACGCTCGCCATGACTCGTTAATGGAAGTGGCGGTGTTCCCGTCGCTCGCTTCTGGCGGGGGGGCTCCCGCAACGGGCTATCTCGCGCGCGCGACTTGGGCGTTCCCTTCCTCTCCGGCGGCAGCCGCCCACGGTAAAAAAAAAGTGGAGAGCGAGCGAAGAAGATAGCGCGGCAGCTTTGCCGGACACACCACTCTGGTGGAGTGAGCATGCGTCGCGCGCCAGACGCATGGTCGACTCTTGCGATCGCCACCGCCCCCTGGTTTCGGGAAGCATGGGTGTGACCGAGTGGCCCTCATGTATACTTGACGCGCACGCCAGATCGGCGGCCGCCCTATGCTCGCGCTTCTCGTTAGGAAAGTGGCGGCCGCTACGCTCGTACTTCTTTTTTTTTCCCAAACAGAGTGCGCTGGAGAAGCGACCGACGATGCGACGCTGTCCGGCAAAACAAGAGCGCGCACCACAAATCACGCGACTTGTACACCCTGCATAAAACAGGAAAAAGCTTGCACGCAGCAAGTGAAGAAGAGTGGCCGCCTGTTTCCTCGCTAGCTTCCACACGCCGCGTTTCGTCCAGCGCAGGAAGTTCCTGAACTGCGTGAGGTCGATGGAGATGAAATTAGCGCCCACCGCATTGTGTTACTCGCTATACGAATAATTTGCATAAACTTACAGCATAACACCCACGTCCTTTTGGTGCCTCTGGCTATTGTTTGACTGATTTCCACCCACCCCCCCCAACTTTCTTCCCCTTATTTTGATTCATTGATATGTGGGGTTTTACGTTATGAGAGACGCCACAGTGGAGGACTCCGGAAACTTCGACCACCTGGGGCTCCTTAACGTGCACCCAAATCTGAGCACACGGGCCTACAGCATTTCCACCTCCATCGAAAATGCAGCTGCCGCAGCCAAAATTGTATCCCGCGACCTGCGAGTCGGCAGCCGAGTAAACTTTAGCAACTAGACAACCGCGGCGGGGCTTCTCCTTCTTTTATCCTCCGATATAACGTACAGCTAATGTAGCTTATTCGTCCAGTTCATTAAGGTGTCTGTGCGTCCACTAGCTGTCAGAACGGGTGTCTGCAAAACATGCGCGCTGAACACTTCTGCAACTAACTGTTCGAATCGGCAAGAATGATAATTTGCGCGTGACTGCTGACCCGCAGGTCGCGGGATTGAATTACGGCCGCGGCGGCTGCATTTTCGATGGACGAGAAAATTCTGCAGCCCGTGTGCTCAGATTTGGGTGCACGTTAAAGAGCCTCAGGACGTCAAAACTTTCGAAGCCCTCCACTATGGCGTCTCTCATAATCATATCATCGTTTGGAGTGTGAAGCCCCAACTATTAAAGAAAAAGTTAAGGAATGATAATTTCTGAAGCTTTGTGCGCCAAAATTATAATTATTAAGCATGCTGTAGTTGAGGTCACTAGAAATATATATAATAATTTGGTTTTCTCTCATGCTCGCTTACGTTGCACAGCACGGGACCTTTAGCGCTTTATCTCCATCAAAACGTGATCACCACGTCGTGATCGAACTGCTCTTATTCGAAATAGCAGACCACGTTGGGAAGTATGTAGGCTAGATCTTTGAAGTTCATAAACATGGTATCATTTCTTTATGTCTAAATGGGGAGTGTACTGTCAACTTCAAGTTTGCTCCACAGTAATATTACCTGGCGAAGGCTTGCATAACAGCTCCAAATACTCGTGTACGTTTTTCTTCCATTTACAGTGACAGTTTGTGTATTAACGCCCCGCCGCGGTGATCTAGTGGCTAAGGTACTCGGCTGCTAACCCGCAGGTCGCGGGATCGAATCCCGGCTGCGGCGGCTGCATTTCCGATGGAGGCGGAAATGTCGTAGGCCCGTGTGCTCAGATTTGGGCGCACGCTAAAGAACCCCAGGTGGTCGAAATTTCGGAGCCCTCCACTACGGCGTCTCTCATAATCATATGGTGGTTTTGGGACGTCAAAACCCACACATCAATCCATCAGTTTGTGTATTAACGAAAGAAAGTTAACCCAGGTATACTATATAGTATCGCAAGACGGGGTCACGCAGGTGAGTAACGTTTTCATGTACTATATCCCACGGCTTGTTGGACGTTTATATTCTATAGCGTGGCTGTCTATCATTGGTTTACGCTTTTGATACTCATATATAACAAGAGCCCCCCCCCCCCCCCCAAAAAAAAAAAAGATTAGCGGCGGTTATTCTGGCATGCATTTGCTTTATAGCATCCTTAATACTGCATTAGTTACCTGGCGCGTTATCGTAGAAATTGCGCAGGAGAGAAAATAACATCGCCAAATCTTCAAAGAAGTTTCGAGGATGAAGTTTCATACATTAGGTGCAGCCCCGCTGCGGTGTTCTAATGGCTAAGGTACTCGGCTGCTGACCCGCATGTCACGGGATCAAATCCCAGCTGCGGCGGCTGCATTTCCGATGGAGGCCGAAATGTTGTAGGGCCGTGTGCTCAGATTTGGGTGCACGTTAGAGAACCCAGGAAGTCGAAATTTCTGGAGCCCTCCTCAACGGCGTCTCTCATTATCATATCGTGGTTTTGGGACGTTAAACCTCACATATCAATCAATCAATCAATCAATCAATCAATCAATCTATCTATCAATACTTTAGGTGCATCGTTGGCCAACTTACATTGAAGGTGATTTTAGAATAGTGTGACTTATTCTCCTTCAACGCGCACCACTGGCATAGACATGATTTCTCGTGTTAGCACGTCTCGTTATTGCAACGATTGCCAGCATACACGTTAATATCATTTCAAAAGTAGCACTTGACGACAATAGCGTCAGGGTATGAAGGAAGACGTTTTGTAACTTTTGCCAAATATTTTGAAAGCTCATCTATGCGAGTTTTTTTTACACACATTCGGGCGCTGAATGCGACTGTTACATCGTCATTTGTGGGGAGTCGTAATGCTACATGAAACTGAAACCATCCTTGCGTGTGCGGGGGTGCCTTATTCAAACTTTATCACATGCATGCATGATTAAAAGCATGCATGAATAAAGCATGCATAATTAAAGCATGCATGATTAAAAGCATGCATGATGCCTGATATAAAGCATGCATGATTAAAAAAAGGAAAAAATAGAAACGTTGGAGCTAGTTATTGCGAATCGAACGTCTGTTGTCATATGCTAATACATTCAAAGATGACATTGATGATGGGCGTAACTTCAAAGCAAGCATACTACGGGAACACTGGAAGATTCATTAGGTGAACACGCTGTTTGTTTCTGTTCTACGGCTTCATCGGTCTCTCGCAACAAGGAGAACATCGGGAAATGAAGGATGGGCACTCGGGGAGCGACAGTACGATGCACTGCGAGACGCCACTGAGGCGTGCGCGTACCATACGGCACCGAATCTGGCATATCGGTCTGAGCTCTCTGTCTGACGAGAGCTGGCGAGATGGTATCTTGCTGTAGCCGGCCGAAATCTGTCCCGATTAAAGGGCCAATCGACGCCCAATGGTTGCGGCGGGGGCGCACCGTCCCGGTAAACGGGTCCTGCTGTCGGGAGACCCGGGTGTCCCTCGGCATATGGGGGAGCGCGGCGCTGTAATCGGCTTACCCGCACGCGACCTCCTCGCTGGCTTACGCTCTTCTGTGGCCGTCGAGTGGACCTGCTGTGCGGGGAAAGCGGCGTAGAGTAAATGGCGGCCCCCTCTTGGCCAAAAGTGTCGCTCCATTGTGCGTCGATTGAGCGCGCAGCCGGTGTTGTCCCGCGCGTTCTGCCCCGCCGCGCGCCACTGCATCTCCGGCTTCGTGGCTTCATCATTTGCCGCTCCCCCGCTTCATTTTCCATTCGACCCTCTTCGGATCCTGCTCGATCCCCTCAAGCAGGCTCGCTATGTCGGTGAGCGCGTTAAAACGCCCCGTGCAAAGTCGAGGCGCTAATGTGTTTGTGATTAGCGCGCTGCTCTTGAGAGTCCTCAATGGGATTTTCGTAGTGCGCACTAGGGTGCGGATTGTATTACCATTGCTGCCGGCGGCCTTTTTTTCTGACTCCTGGCTCACAAAACGTGTACAGCGACTCACCGACATTTTGCTATTTCGCAACTGCTCGGGCATGACGCCTGTGCTGCGAGAGCACCGAGCGCTTCATTGGAACACAACGCACCTTGAGGGCTCTTAGTCATGTCAGCCGCTAATTTCATGCTGCTAGCCAACAATGGAACCCTTTGCTATGCACGACACGAACAACTTTTAAAAGACTAACCCCGTTCAATCGAAAAGTCCATTAATCTGTGTTCACCGAATCATTTTAAAAAATGAACACTGCTTTCTCTTTCACTGCGATGTGGCAGTTGCACTAGCTTTAAAAAAGGCATGCTGTGACAGCACAAAAAAAGTGCACAGTATTTTTGCCATTCATCATTGCCCTTCATAAATTATAATACTCGTTCAGATTGAATTTTCAAATAAATTTTGCCCTTAGGGCTCACTCGTACTACTCAGACTCGCCAAAGCTTTGCTGAAACTGGCTGACTCAGACTCACTAAAATGTTTCTGAACCGGACTCCCTCGGAGTCAAACTGACCAGAATATTACTCACAAAGGCTCCCTCACACTCATGCGGACTCAGATCGAGGCGTGACTTTGAGCCCGAGTGAACCAATTGATGAGTCAGTTAGCCTGCAATTGGGCTGAGATGCATCTTCAGTAAAAAATAGACAAACATCTTCCTGACAGATTTTTAGTGGAGACTGGACTGTATAAGCGCTTGTGATATACAGCTAGGAGTTGATAACTATGGTGGTTTTGGGATGTTAAACCCTACTTATCAATCAAATTAATAATTAGGAAATTATGTGTTAGTGCACATACTGAGAGTATAAATAGAAAGGCGTGCCTTTCAACATTTTATGACAGTGTGAACTGCTGCAAGCAAACTGTAAATAAGATGTTATTTCAACTGGCTTCAGTGTGCTAAAATGTTTGTTTTTTTTTGCTCATTGTTCATTTTGGATACCAATCCGTATTATTATTTTTATTTTTTTTTTGCACTGCAGAACTTATTATGGAGTAGCCGAGGCAATAGAGGGACCTATACTCTCCATAACCCAAACCTAGCCCCCCCCCCCCCATAAGACCCTACCCCCCCCCCCCCCCCCCAGAGGGGGGGCTAGGTCGAAACTTACGCCTTTGATAAATGAACATCCTGCTGGCGTATGAACGCTATGGTGCGCTGTAGTACGACTGAGTAGGCGTAAGCAAATGCGATAGGATATAGAACTGATACTAATGCTGGAGTTGAGTAGGTAGGACTATTGCCCGGCAAAAAAAGTGAAGCTCAGTCAGAAAATGTATTTTGCGCAGAGCGCTCACCGTGACTTGGAGGACACGTCAAAGTTTTCCTCAACCGCAGTCACTCTCACTCAAACTAACTGAAGGGTTCTCAACCGGAACAAGCACGGAGCCAAACTCCTGGAATATTTACTCAACACGGTGTCACTCAGACTAAGATTCGCGACGTGCTACTGAGTCAGCCTAAGTGAGTGGACTAAGCAGTGAGCTCGCCGACATATTGCCATCCACTGCGAACATGAACTTGTCTATAATATATTATATAATATATATATATATATAAATAATATATATATATTATATATATACACATAGATAATGTATATATATAGATATATATATATATATTATATATATAAGCCTAAAATTGCAGTTTTCTTAGGCTTCTAAAACGACCATGCATGTGGTGCCGCCATATGCATGTGGCATCACCTCCTCAAGACATTTGAAATAGTACACACAAAGTTAGCTTTCTTTTCCTTTAAAATAGTTAAAACAGTCAATTTATATAAAGCTAGAAAAAAAAAAAAGCAATACAGCTCTTCTCGCTTTCACAGTTGGGCACTGTGCAAGGACAACACGTGATCTGCTTGGTTCCACTTTCAAGCACACTGTCAATTTTTATGAAAGGAAACAAGCAAACGCGTGGCCTACGCGCTCCAGCGGCTGCTTGTAGCACGTTCAAGTGGGAGCGATAGCAACCACAGCCTCTATTCCCGTTATCTAGTGGCGAGCACAACAACCGATCATTGGTTGTATAGAACCGGCGGCAAGATTACGACCTCCTCTTTCGAAGCGATTACGCCCGGCCTCTTACATAATCTCCTTGAAGGGAAGGCAGTTGCTATCTTACCGCCGGTCCCATATCACCAATAGCTGGTAGTTTCGCTCACCACTAGATGGCGGAAAAGCAGCCACCAGAGCGCGCGGGTCACGCGTTTGCGTGTTCTCTATCAATAAATTGACACTGTGTTGTGCACGTTAAAGAACCTCAGGTGGTCTAAATTTCCGGAGCCCTCCACTACGGCGTCTCTCATAATGCGTCATACAATAAGAATAGCATAAGGAGTGGGTGGTACAATGCTCCAACCCATTACAAAAGCTTGTTCTTCACCTATTAACTGTGGGCATACCCACTTCAGGCATAATTCCTCATCGTCGCCAGCCACTGCATGAACAATAGGCACAAAATTCCTTGCAAGTGTTTAGCGGATACTACGCTTCTCAAAAGAATGACGAAGGATAGCATAGTGAATACTGGCCTACTACCCAGAAAT